CTTGCCGTGTGGTCCTTCCAGTTGATATCCGGATAGTTGAAGTCTCCCATGAGAACCAGGGCCTGCGATTGTGAGGCTACATTTAGCTGTCTATAGAAGGCCTCATCCACTTCCTCGTCCTGATTGGGTGGCCTATAGTAAACACCCACCACAGTGTCACCCATGCTGGCCTGCCCCTTAATTTTCACCCACAAGCTTTCAACTTGTTCTTCATCCACTCCCAGGTAGAGTTCTATACATTCCAGTTGCTCTTTTACATAAAGCGCGACTCCACCGCCTCGCCTCATAGGCCTGTCTTTCCTGAAAAGCACATAGCCATCAATGGCAGCGTTCCAGTGATGCGTGTTGTCCCACCATGTCTCTGTAATCGCAATGAGATCATGGCCCCGCAACCACATACAGAACTCTAGCTCTTCCTGCTTGTTCCCCATGCTGCGCGCATTGGTATAAAGGCATTTCAGTGAGCCAGTTGAGCACCTAGGTTTCCCTGGAGGGATGAAAGAGGATCTGCCACTGCCAAGCCCACCATTAGGGCAGTTGGTCTTCTGGTTAAGTTGGGAGGCAGTTATGGCACATTTGTAGCTGCTCTGAACCGACACACTTGTTCCCCCATCAGATGCGACTGTGACCTGACCCACCCCCCAAGTCCTTTAGTTTAAAGCCCGCCGTACCAAGTTGGCCAACCTACTGCCTAGGATTCCCCTGCCCCGCCTAGAGAGGTGGACCCCATCCCTCCCTAACAGGTTGTAGTCGTTGAAGGACGTCCCATTGTAGTGTAGAACTTTTGTCAATGTATTTCTGAAACATTTCTAGGGGATATAGGAACATAAAAAGTGGCGGTGTCATGTCTGATTTTTTTAAAAATAATGCTCAGTATGTTTTAATCCCATTCTTTTACCTTATGATTATAAAGAGAATTTTTTTTTTTAAATGCTGCTTCACTGTGACTGGTGAATAAAGTGGGACTTGAAAGAATAATATATAACACTCTGTTTAAGTGGCACAGAAATGAAGCACGTGGAGCAGCCCAACCATCTGGTTTCTTTCAGTAAGTTTTAGTTTCCTTTTGAACGGAAACAAATTTTTAGATGTTTCTCTTCTAATTTTTGTACAGGCTATGAATGAAATGAATGGGAAAGAGATAGAAGGGGAAGAAATTGAAATAGTGTTAGCAAAGCCACCGGATAAGAAAAGGAAAGAACGTCAGGCTGCCAGACAGGCCTCCAGAAGTACTGCGTGAGTGTTCATTCTTGCACTACTGTAATATTGCAGAATTAAGTTCTGCTGTAAAAAAAAAAAAAAAAAAAAAAAAAAAAAAAACAGTTTTAAAA